CAGTTTGTGCTGATTATGGTGCTACTAAACTTAGTCATTAAAATGTTTATTAGCAACTGAAAAAAGCACAAATGTCAGGACATGTCAAAACTTCTCCAGGGCCCAAAACACCCTCAGACCCCAGAGGGTTAAAGGCTAACTAACCATCCATAAATCAAGATAAATTTACTTGAGATGCAAATTGTACTTAATACTTCATTCAAAGTGAAAACTAATTTTAATACCCCATTAACAGATATCTGTTTTTGTATTAAGTAGATTTTTTTGAGCCCACTGGCAGATACTTATTCCTATTGTAACCATAAACCCTTCATTTTGATCAATTTCTAGTAAAACAAGACTTCTTGTCTTTTGTCATTTTGCTTCTCAAATAAATGTATTTTGAAGAATCTTTGGGCATTTGGAGTGGAAAACAAGACAAAAATACAGAGGGAAACAAACGATAATGATACAGATGAATGATATCATTGCAATCACTTTCATAAAGTTTTTTTTCCCAGCTGATGAATGATAAAAACATTGACGGCCAATCCGAATCCATCCAACTTTAAAGAGCTCGAGCATTTAAAGCGGCAGATAAAACTGCAGCTCGCGCTTATAATAAACAGAATGTTATAGTTGTTATACAGTAGATATTTGTATTGGAAAACCGCTGAAAAATACAGAGGAAGATATTTTTTGCAGTGCATTCAACATTTAATGCCATGACTTTATGAATTTAAGACTTTCTGATCCCGTTTAAGACCTTTAAAGGCCTTAATTTGTGAAAACACAAATAAAGACTTTTTAAGACTTGCAAAAACCCTGTTATCATTCTTGGTGTGAATGGGCCTTTACAGGCAAGAATACTTTTGATTCCCTATTTTCTTCATGCATGGGTTTGCTCTTACTACGCTGACACCCACTGAAATTTACCCTAAGATTAAGACAAATCAACAAACCAATATGTGGGGACCTCGATGTTTTGGTGTGTAAACATGACCTACCAACCCTAGTGTCATGAAACACAACAACACACTAGACCCATTTATTGTGTCCCGTTTCCTTCTGCAATCCATTTTCACTACTCACCATATCCAGGAATGCCTTCGGAACGGGAAATTGTTGACGTGCATCATTTTTTTCTCCCTTCCTGTGTAATTTCGGCCGGTCTTCATTTAAACGAAGGTGTGGTTCGTGTTGGCTCCTCTCTCTCACAAATAAATAACTCTTACGCCGGCCTCGGAATAGCCATTATACACCCTACTTACAGGCCTCAACTGAAACCAGCTCCAAGCATCTCCGAAACAAGAAGTCCGCTTGGAGCAATGCAGAGTACATCTTCTTAGCGTGCTATTCCACAAAAGAGTCTAGAGAAGACACTTCACCCATTTATGAATGTAGACAGTGTGCGTAAATCAAATTTTAAGGCAAGAAAGTGGCATGTTAAGAAAAACTCAAGGGTTAAGGGCTTGTTCCATAGTAGTACAGCAAAAATAACAAACACAGAGCAGAATGAGGGTCCTTCCGCTGCCTTTTGTGTGGGATTTGAAACTCACTGTGGTACATCCTCATCGTGAAGTCCCAGCATTAATAACAGTTTCAGGAAAACGCCTCATTTGGACGTCGGAGATGCACGGTGGTGCCCCAACAAAACCCAATGATGCATGCAGTCCCTTTCTGGTGCAGATAGCCCAGATGCCATGGAGAGATGAATGACAGGTCCGATTCAGTCCTCAGTAAGTCCTGGAAATTTTTCCCCAAAAAAGACTAAGCACACTGCTCCTGTCAAGCACCACATAAGCTACTGATCCTCTTAGTGCGGACAGCTCTGATTAATTCAGTGGTGTCAGCTGAAGAAATGGGTGGAGTAGCCATAGGGGATGAGATGGAGCGAGGCTAGCTGGAGAAGAGAAAACACACAGAGTGTCACCTCAGGATTGTCCGAGTTCCCGTCTGATCCTGGCAGTCATCACATGAAGGCAGAGTTGGCAGGCGGTGACAGCGGTCAAGGTGCTGCAAGAATCCTATTAATGCAGTGAAAGCAGCACGTGCTAAACCTCTTGACAATCACTTGTCTTCCTTACCCGAGGGTTTCTCTTTCTCCCTCCGTCTCACTCAGCCGTTCCCGGGTCTTTTCTCTCTCTTCTCTCTCGCTCTGCTGCAGCGCTGGCTCTGGGCTGTACAGAGTGTGTGTGTGTTTGGGAGAGACTGTGTGACTCGCTGTCTGTGTGTGAGCGTCAAGGGGCCCCACAAGGGAAACTCTGACCGGCCGACAACACACAGCGCTCGCTAAATATAGCACACGCCTGACAGCTTGATGAACCTGTTTTTGCAGCGCGGAATTAAAGCTCATGATAATATCTCAAAGGTCAGGAGCAACGACAATGATATGACAACAAAAAAAGAGTTAAGAAGATATACTGTGAGACAATGTAGTTCTACAAGCATGGTCAAACATAGCCTGGGCTGCTTAGGGTATAAGGTATGAGAACAAAACACCACGTTTGCATTAGGAACACCCCATGTGAAAGAAAAATCATAAAGGAGATGTCTTATATATCTCTAGAATTTCCCCTATAGATTGCAATTTGAGATCAAATAGAGAGAAAAATATCTTCTTTCCGCTAAAAAGGTTTGACATTTAAATTCTTGACAAGTCTTAAACTGTGCTCAGATTTGTCAGAAAGTCAGAAGTCTTAAATATTTCTCATCAATTTCTACCAAGATCAAATGATATGAGCTGTTATCAACATTTTCATTCAAACTCCATACAACGTGCTTACTGTATGTCAACAGTTGGCTCATTTGTGTCTGTTTTTATTGAAGTTGAAGTTGAAGCATAAACTCAATGATTGTGTCGTTAACATTAGCGCACACTCATGATCCTAAAGGCATTTTAGGACAAAGAGAAAATTGTGAACAGACAACTTTGTAGTGCTGCCCGTCTTAAAAAATTATGCATGTCGCCCTACTAAGTACCTTCAAATCTTCTTCTTGTTCGATTTTCCCCTTCGAGTAGTTGGGAAAAAAGTCCACTGACAGATCATTTCCTGTGACATAGTTAAATTTCACCTCTAAATCTGCTTTTATGCAGGGCCTAACACAGCGTAATGCCTGGTCATAAATCAAAACAATCATTTTCACACAACAGGATGAAGATGTTAGGAATTACAAAATAGTTGCTGAGTGAATGCTTTAAATGCCACGTGTGACTGACATCGTATTTGGTTCATTCAGGTCGTGTTTGAACACACATGCACATCTGAATCAGCCGCAAAGCTGGACACTATCAAGTGCACACGTGAGCAATGTGTAGTTATGATTCTCAGCGCTCTCTTTATATTGTACCTATCAATAAAAGATGCAAAAAAAGCTAAAAATAAACTCAGTTCTTTTGAGTCAGTAGAACAAATGGTGTAGCATGCAGCATAACAATGATATAGAGTCTAGATGTAATAGTAATACGATTGTGGCAGCATTCATAACTGAATAGTCAATGCCTTTTAAATGCCATTTCAGTTCCTAAATTTAAATTTAATTTGAACTGAAGTAGGGGTGTGCAATATCACAATTTTTGATCGCCGACGATTAAAATTTCTCCACGATCTGCTTTTGAAGAAATATCATAGTATCGTGCTACAGCGCACATTCTATCAGCTGTAGTTCTGGTGTCTCCGTCTCAATATACTGTACAACGCCACATACATTCACATCAAATGTTGACTCAGCGGTGGAGTTCCACTCACAGGACACTGCACTTATTCACAATCACAAAAGTACATTATTTGCATGTACTTTAAAGCCTTGCCGGGTAAACATTTCATTCGCATGCTGTTCTGACATGCGCTTTTTCTGAGCGTGTACACCTGAAGAGCGCACACACTAAAGCGCCCGTCAAACAGCGCCTGATTACTGGACTAAGTTATCTTTCATGTCTGATTGTGCTAATACTGTCAAAAACACACAAGAGTTACATCTAAATACAGTTGGTTATATCTAAAGTGAAAGTAAACGGATGCATGGCTGTATATTAGATGGGGGCAGGTCTTAAAGCGACAGCAGACTATAGTACTAAACATGCTGCCGATTGTCATTAAAGGGATAGTTCACCCAAAAATGAAAATTCTGTCATTATTTACTCACTCTCATGTCGTCCCAAACCTGTATTAATTTCTTTCTTGCGCTGAACACAAAAGACCAGTAACTGTTTGGTTATCCACATTCTTCAAAATAACTTTTATGTTCAACAGAAGAAAGAAACTCATACTGCTTTAAAACATCTTGAGAGTGAGCAAATGATGACAGAATTTTAATTTTTGGGTGAACTGTCCCTTTAATGTTAATAAAACAAAACTCTAAAAGAAAACTCACTAACTGCTCTTGACTGAAGAACTGTATAGTTCTTTAGAAGTGTATAGTGTTTTTTTTTTATATTTGTTCATTCAATTTCTTGAATGCTACTGCTAAATACACCTACTGTACCTGAAAAATAAAGCACTGTTGGTTTTATTTGTATATTATGTGTATTTGTAATGTGTATCTTTGTTCTTATTTTTTAATAACAAAGATAAAATAATCAAGATTTTTATCTTCACCCATTCTTTTTTATTTTATATTTTGTTACCTTGAAGGCTTTGTTTTTAAAATAGGGAAATTCTTTAGGCTGTACCGCTCAGAAAACCTGCAAAATAGTAAAACTAACATGACAAAGAATTGTGATAAAATCGTGAAAAATGATTTTCCTGGAAAAAAAAATTGTGATATGATATTTTTGCCATATCGCCCACCCCTAAACTGAAGCAGCAAATGTGAAACAGAATTGCAATTCGAATTTGAATGTAAAGAAGCAGAATTAAAATGAAAGTCAAATAAGTTTAGAAAGCTACTAGAAAGGCAAAGTTTGAATGGATGAAAATGAGCATTCTTGGTTTTCTGCATCTCTAATAATAATAATAATGATGATGCTCACCTCAGAAAGCCCCACTAAAAATAAGACCACTGTTTGTTGGCTTTTAGAAGATGATTTAGTCATCAACATCTCTTTCATGAACGTTTACTTCAGCTGAGGTTTGTTACATAAGCTCCATTCACCTCAGCGTGGCCTTACTTTACACGCAGCAGAGGCTCAGTATTTACTTATTGAAACCTCTGTGAAGCTCAGTGCTGGACGTAAATGTCACTTTGTGTTTTCTGCAGTCAAGCAAGAGCCTGATGGCCACAGTCCCTTCAGATCAATGTGAACACACAAACCACACAGAAGGGCCGGAGAGCTGCAGTGACCCCAACCTCTCTGCAGCACCACGCAGCCGGCATCTTACCAACACGCAGTGCAGCTTTCCTTCATCTCTCATACAAACTCATCTTCAGAAACAGAGCCACAGGGCTCATACCTGCTTATGGTAAGCAACTTTAAAACTGTAGCTTAAAGCCCTTAAACTACAGTCAAGTTAGCTTTAAGAAAATGTGGTTAGCTACACAACTACTACAAAAAAAATTTTTAATGGAGCAAATTATTTACATAAAAAACCTTTGTACCTTTATAATATAACTTATTATTATTATTACCCAGCAAAATGTTGTATATAAAATATTACTATTATTTTATAATTTATTATTATTATTTTTATTAAAAGAAACTTTACATCCATACATTGTTACATTACATGATATATTATTATTAGATTAGATTACATACATTTTAAAAAGATTTTTGAGTAAGTTCAGCAATCTGCTGAAATAAATTAGACTTGTCCAATTTCTATTTCAGTGCATGCCTAATTTGGCTAAATATTTTTCTAAGTGCACAGGAAATACTTGACGAATTGCTAAAATGTGCATTTTTAAGGAACCGCATATGACCTCGGGTAAAGCTTGTAATAGACACTATCCACCTCTCCTGTCCTTCCTCAGGGCCTAGAGAATGGTCCCCCTTGGCTGGAAGGACTGAAGATAAAAAAGAACATATTTCCTGCTGAAGGCCATCATGGCTCTATCTGCTGCTGTAGTGCGTCTACAATCTACAGCCCTCAGTAGGGCCTCTGCCTATCACCCATCCTCTGCCTGCAGGAACATGGACTGATAACACAACTACACACCAGCACACACACCCATCAGCTAAACTACTCACATTTCCTCTCTGACTCTCTAAGGGAGGGATGTCAGCTCTCATACAGCACTTCAGCCAGTCTACACTACCGATCAAATGTCTGGGATTGGTAAGAATTTTTTTTCTTATGCTCACCACAGCTGCATGCATTTGATCGAAAATAGAGTAAAAACAGCAATAATGTGAAATATTTTTTAGGGATGCGCCGATCCGATATTCATATCGGGTATCGGCTCCGATAGTGCCATTTTTCTCGGCTCGGGTATCGGTCAGAGAGGGCCGATCCAAATCCGAGGTTTTTAATTTTATTTCCGATTGTGCGAATGATTCATTCTGTGTTATTCTGAAGCCATACGATAGCTTAATGTGAGCTACATATGAATATTTAAGTCCTTACATTAAAGTTCACACGAACTCTTTTTTCTCCGCTGTGGCTGTCAGTCATTCGTTCAGCCTTTAAACCCTGGTCGCGTTCGGTTACAGCAGACAGCTCGGTAAAGCTCTCTCCAAGATCATTCTGTGTTCCCATTATACTTGATTTGTAAATACATGTCTATGATTTTGCAAAAAGGACTTTATCTTCTTGCCGGAGTTTAATGTTGTTTTGTTACTTGCTACCGGGTGTCTGTGAGAACAAAACACGGGCGTAGAAAAGACTATAAATAGTTTTTAACGTGCACAGTAACTGAAATTTAAAACTGTTAAAAGAAAGGCTCAATAACTGTTGCACAGATATAATACACTACGCATCAATTTCTCTTCCCTTTGTGCGTTGCAGTTTTTAACACGAAGCGCTTACAATGTGCACATCCAGTGTGCAGAATGATGCGCTTGAAGCAACACGCAGTCAGGCTAACTGTTGCACAGATATAATACACTACGCATCAATTTCTCTTCCCTTTGTGCGTTGCAGTTTTTAACACGAAGCGCTTACAATGTGCACATCCGGTGTGCAGAATGATGCGCTTGAAGCAACACGCAGTCAGGCATCATTCTGCACACCGGATGCGCACATTCTAAGTGCTTTGTGCTCATAATCGGAATCGGTATCGGAGGCGAAAAAGGCGGATCGGAGCATCCCTAATATTTTATTAGAATTTAAAATAACTGTTGTCTATGTGAATATATTTTAAAATGTAATTTATTTCTGTGAGTCAAAGCTGAATTTTCAGCATCATTCCTCCAGTCTTCAGTGTCACACGATCCATCAGAAATCATTCTAATATGCTGATTTGCTGCTCAAGAAACGTTTCTTATTTTTATCATCAATGTTGAAAACAGTTGTGCTGCTTCATATTTTTGTGGAAACTGATTTATGAACACACCTTGCAAAATCAAGACATTTCATGAACACAAAAAAAACTAATTGTGGTTTATAATCTCACACTTTCACACATATCAACCTTCTTCTTTCTGAGCCATTGTTTCCTGAATCTACCTCACCAGAGGCACGAAAGACAAAATAACCTATTTAATTTCATTTAGTGAGTTAGCAACTTGAATTGAATGTGATGAAATAAAAGAAATACAATATAATCCAAAATATTAAATTGGCCATTGCTGGCTGCATTAAAAAAAAATATATAATACAACTGATTTAGATTGATTCACAAATGAATGACTCTTATGAGCCAAATCTTTTCATGAATCAAATTCAAATTGATTCAAATGAACAAATATTTGTAATGTATCAAATTCAAATTGATTCACATTAAGGAATCAGTTTTTTAATTAATCAAATTCAAATTGATTCAAACTAATGAATCAATTCTTTTAATGAATCAAACTCAAACTGAAGTCAAATGAACTCAAATTAAAGAATCAATTATTTTATTTCTTTTTAGTCTAACAAATCACTTGCTGAATACATATTGATTTACTTACCAAATGTTTATATGACAACGTGCTGTAAAATGTTAAACATAAAAAGTTTTATACTGTAGCTTATATTCACTTATCTCCCGGTTGACAAAATATCAGATGCTTGATCTTGCATGCTTTTAAAAATAGCAGTGGTCAGGAGTTATGTAAGTCGGACAGGCTGGAAAGGCCAATAGAGAGTGTGTGTGTTTGTTTGCGTCTGTGTTAGTGCAGCGAGGGGTTGTCACTGGCTGTTCTGGGATGCCAGGGTGGCTAAAACGGGAAATGTCAAGCGCAGCCGGGGCAGGTATATGCTACAGCGGTGCGCAAGGTCACATCCCGACCCCTGCTGAGCAAACCCAATAGCGTTTCAAGTGTATGACGAATAGACCACCGGCCTGTACATACATCTGAATGACACCCGGCGTAAATTACTTTAAACTTTACTGAGTCTCTGCAGACGGAGCTCTTTATTCAATGAATCGCACTGACTGTGCAAGAGTGGGAGGACTCTTAGAAAAGCAGTCGGAAAGGCTATATGTCTGCCATCAACTCCCGCTGACATGCTTTTCACAGCATTCGGTTTCATACTTCTCATTAACGCATGTCAGACAGTAAGACATAATCTGAGGCGATCCCCAAAACCTCTGCAAAGACGATACAAGACCCTGTGTGACACAAAGGGATGGAGAGACCATGCATATTATCTATATATCAGGGGTTCCCAAACTTTTTTTTTTTGTCAGTCGAACCCCTTAAGGCCGGTTCACACCAAGAACGATAACTATAAAGGTAACTATATCAGCGTCCACACCAGCGAACGATATAGTGTTCATTCTAAGCGCACACGTGTCTGTCGCTTTAAATTCTACAGCTCGTTATAGCAGGATGGATTCTGATTGGCTGTATAAAGGCTGTCAGTCGATAAATTTTTTAAATCTAATTAATTACATGATGTGGCAATTAATTAATCACAAATTAAATTTGGCTGTGAAAATACCCCCAGAAGATCATTTAAAGCCATTATTATGTTAAATTAGAAAAATATTAAGTAGATATTACAAAAAGTAGCTTTAGAAAGACAAACTTTATTTGATTCAACACAATTTATTGCACAAATGTTTAGGCTACAACGACCTAACATAAGAGAACATAATTTGAGAAACATCTCAGTATTTTTTCTTCATACAATGAAAGTCGCTGGTAACCAGATCAGCTTGGTTACCAACATTCTTTATTATTTTATTTTATGTTCCCTAAACGTAAGTAAGTTATAAAGGGTTGAAACGATATGAGAGTGAGTCAATGACGGCTGAATTGTTCTTTTTGGGTGAGCTATCACTTTATTTTTCACTTATTTATTTATATATATATTTTTATTTTTATGAAATGATACTCTAAATAAGAAACTAAAACTGCCAGTAGGCAGTTTATGAGTCATTCATTTGATTTAATTTGCTCAAATTGCTGATTCATTCCGGAATTAAGTAAACCACTCTATGAATGAGCCATTGAATCATTGGTTCACCCGATTCATTCAAAACGTGGATTTATTTAGAAATGAATCACTGCTGTGTGTTCTGCTGTGGCTTTAATAGGTAATATTTTCGTTGGCAAAACTGACAATATTGTAGCCTGTCTAAAAATAAAACACAATATTAACTTATTTACTTAACTGTTGTTTAAAATCACATTTGCACTCGTGCTATTCGGGACAAAAACAGCACTTGCGTGATATTGCTCTCACTGCTTGTTTGATATTGCTTATCATATGATAAAAATGAGACAAACATTTGCACCAATATCTGACATTTTAAGAGCATATAATTGCATTTTTATAGGCTACATCATGCAGTGTTATGGTTCTGCATCATGTTTGTCAAAAGTAAACTGCATGATATGTAAGATGACCTATATGTCTGGGGCGGGGGCGTTAACTGCGTTAAAATATTTTAATTGTGTTATTTTTCCATAAATAATTAAGCCCTAATATAAGTGCCCTAATATAAGTGTTCACACGTGGCTTAATTTTTTACAAGAACCAACTAACTTTAAGATTCACTACAAATATTTGATCGCATATTTTATTATTTTATTTAGATATTCTTCACATTTAAAAAGTATAAACTCTCTAGCTCAGGGGTGCCCAAACTCGGTCCTGGAGAGCCGGTGTCCTGCAGAGTTTAGCTCCAACCCCAATTAGACACACCTGAACCAGCTAATCGAGCTCTTACTAGGCATTCTAGAACCTTCCCAGCAGGTGTGTTAAAGCAGGACCAAGTTTGGGCACCTCTGCTCTAGCTTTTAACATGAAAACACCTGTAGCTTTTATTTTGATGGAATATTGGTCAAACGCTGTAAACGTCTGTCTACACAAATGTTGGAAATGATGCCAATGTGAATGTAAATAAAGTGAACCAAGTGCATAATGAGTTTCCAAACGCACATTAAACTCACAGCTCTTTCAGAGATGAAGCAAGCAGCACGAGACACTCTAAACATGCTATTATAAATTGTACATGTGTAAATGAACACAGTGCCACACTTCACTCTGAAACACACAGCGCAACAGACTACACACACACACACAAAATTGGTATAAAATTTACTTTGAAACAATTTTCTTTAAGAAAATTACACTTCTAGAGTAAACTTCACAAAAAATTACAAAGAAACAGCAAGTAACACATTGAATCAAATGTGAAATTTTGAAGTAGAAAGATAAAAAAAATATTTTCTTGTAAAATGTTCTCCAACAAAATATTTTACTCTATATATACTTATTTAAATTAAACCCTTTTATCTAAATATTGTGATTTGATAAGATCACTATTTCAGTTTTATTTCTAACACCATTTGTTTATTTTAATACTATTTGATTTATTTACTTCTTACGTTTTCATCAACTCATGAACCCCATTTGGGAAACCCTGATATATACTGTAGTATTTACAGTGCTTTTGGCATAACTGGAATGAGGAATGTGGGAGGAAAGGCCTTCAGCACCAGGAGGAAATGAATGATCTGTAGAGATGAATGGTTTTATTACCCGGCCTCACAACATATGGAGCAATTACAGATACATTGTGAATTACTGCAAGCAAAGTCCAACGCCATCTGTCAAAAGAGAAATCAGAAAGCAAGCCCAACTGGACGGGACGTTCCTCAAGAGTTCTTGATGAATTAGGGTGCTAGGCATGTCTGTGAATAAAGCGTGTTCCTCTGACTGAAGTAAATGATTCATCTGGAGTCAAGACAGACAGAATCTAGAAATAAAAGTGAAACCGTACGAACTACATATTAGTAAAAACAGCACAAATGTGAAGTGACTTAATGCAGTATTCCAATTGTAGTGGAAAAAACTAGATACTGCAGTCTAATAGTAACACTGTCAGTATGAACACTCATTTATGTCTCAGTGGAAGAGACTGAGCTGAAAGACGGCTTTACTTCATCTCAGACAGAGACTTGCGTGCTACAGACTGTCATTTGTTTCATCTAATGTGTCTATAATATACAGCGCTGCTCTAATTAAAGCTCATCAAAGGCCCTCGCTGTGAGGAAACGACCACCTTGAGAAGCACAGCTGGAGAGATGTCTTAAAGAGACAGTAGCACACCAGTAATTCAGAGGACAAAAACAAAGACACAAAACACTAATTTAGCACTCAAAGACTGATTAATCAGTATTTGGAATATACAGTTGTATATTACCAAAAAAAAAAATGGTGTAGAAACAATTTTCGCACGCATTATTCATATACAGTATGATTATATATTTGTGTGTGCGTGTTTGAGTAAATACTATTCATTTTCTATCATTAAAGAAAATACTTTAAACATATTTATGCATAAATAAAAATACATTTATATTTCATTCAATATAAATATATACATTATATATTTTATTATAAAATAATATTGTATTTTCTTGTTTAAATTAAGCATTAAATTAAATTAAATATCAGTCATTGAAAAGCCCATAGACGACTGCTGCTTAGCTATTCTTATGTTCTCATATTAATAACGCATGTAGAAAAACAGCACAGATATCTGTGCCTCTGTGCATATATAACAAGTACCTAAGTAAATTATTTTACTGTCAGGTTTTTTGGACAGATTATATGGATCTCAGATGGTCTGAAATTTTAGCAGCTCTAAAATCATTATGTAATTTAACAATCAGCACTATGCAATACTACATCAACACCTTGCATGGCATTCATGCTGTAGTACATTGTAAGTTGTTGTACACGGAAAATAAGTCCTCAAATTTCATGACATCGGATCACGTCTTCTTTTTGCACTCCGTCACAGAAGCAACTGTACCCTAGTAACACGAACCTGCGACCTCATGCACGCAGTCGCAGGCCACGACACGCATGTCTACTCTGTGGGGAACTCAAAGCGCCACAGGGGCACGTGCTGCACCGTTTGACGTCAACAGTGCAGGTCTGCGTGCCAGCTCAGCGGGTGACATTTACGCACTCCGATCATTTCACTGTGACTCATTAACATGCGGCGTGCAGTGCCACGCTGACAGACAGCCCACTTCTGCTGGCACCTAGCACTGGCAGTTTGGAGCCGTGAACTTTGAAGAGAGCTTCCAGCAATTAAGATGTCAAATAACGCCACCCTCCACATCAAGAATCGCTCTGCTGCTGCTCAGGAGCCCGTCATGCTGGAAGCTCTGCACTTTGGTGGCCTTTCTGAGTGAGAGCATCTATGCAAATCTCACTCGCTCCGCATGAAACATGCAATTGGCAGTTTGCTGATCTCAAGTCAAGGCTGTCAGAGGGTTTCACCTCACGATTACAGGCCCGGGACAGAAATGTACAAAAATCACAGAACTGATTTCTGCTGTAATGGCATCATTCATAAATTTCCACACAGCCTGCACGCTTTACTTGAAGTTGACATGAAAACAAAATTAACTTTACGTTCATAATACATCTGATTTTATTGTTCATGATTCATATTGCCATACAGAAATCTGTTACATTATGGAATTAAAGTTAGTATATAATAACAAAGTTGGCTAAATAAAAATAATAAAGTTGCTAAAGCAGAGTTATTATCTTTAACTAAAACTATTAAAAACATTTTTGAAAATTTAAAAAGGTTAAATAAAAGCATCACAGGAATAAATTACATTTTAACATATATTAAAATAGAAAACAGTTATTTTAAAGCATTCAAAATTCTCAATCAGCTCCAAACTTTGAACAGTAGCATATACAGTAAAAACATACATTAAGGTCTTGCTCTATTTTAATGTTTTCTATCATACATTAAGGCCTTGCTCTTGCTCTATTCAATTTATTTCTTGATAAATCTTGCAATTGTATGTCTTCATGGAAGTAAAATTGGTTGCAAGTGTCAATTCACTTATACCAACATTAAAAATATGTGACTATTACCAAATGTTACAATGATGTCCACTTATACTGTATGAGGTGAAGACATATCACATAAAACTGCACAAAGGTGCTCCCCATCATGTTGGGATTACATGACCACATAGGCTGAAGGTGAACCAACTCCAGCGTAAGGCTAAAAGCAGCCAAATGTATTAAACATCATAAATCCGTCTTTTTAGGCAAGAGTCAGACATGGGTGTCATGTAGGCTAAAAAAAAATGGGACTGAATTTGTATTTAACGTGATTACAATTTAATAAAAACGTTAGAAATGGATAATTATATAACGTTTCCTTCCCACGGTTATTCAAACAGCGAATAAATTATATATAGAAAGTGACATTATCACTAACATTGATCTATCGCGAGTTTAAGCACTCTCAAAAAAAACAACAACTATTGTTATAATTACTGACGCTGTATACATTGTTAAATGAATCTCTTACTTACATTGTAGGTACATCTGCGCTTTGTTGTTTATTATGAGAGAATTCGCAAGAGTCCGGAATTCAGTCAGCGAACAACAAAACTGATGAGTTTGAACGATGACTCATCTGAACGCTTCTGATTGGCCATTGCATTCCTAAGTTCAACAGATATGTGTGTGATTGGTTAAAATACGCAACACTGTAAAACGCCTAAAATGAAATACGGTGCAACATGAACAGATCTTAATTTAATGCCGCAATCGACACTGTCTATTCATATTCACTTTGTTAGCAACAGACATAATAGATTTAATTTGTTTGTGAAGGGGCATTTTTGTCCAATTTAGTCACATTTTGCCCAAGTCCCTGTGGCCAGGGGAAGGCTAAGGCTAAAGCAGCACACTGTGAGGAGTGATGTAGGGCCATTTTAATACAGCACTGCTCATGATTTCAGCATACAGCAAGACTCATGGGATATGCAAGACTCTGCTCTGACCAGCAACCCACAATGCAGTTCCATTAAAGAGGTGGAACAACAGGTGGAGTGGAGAAAACCCATACAGTTTCACCGGCACTGAAGAAGCACTTTGTCATTATCAATCATTCATGCTGATCTCAGAACTGCATCATTTACTGCAAAGGAAATGGAAAAGCATCTACTTGCTAATTTACAACCCACTGTGCACTTAACAGGAAAATATCTGCAAATGACTACTGTAATAAACGCAATAAGACTAATGGAGAAAAAAGATGTAAGATGCACTCTTGCACGGGGTTCAACACAGGCTGTGTGTTTTTTAATACTTAAACTAAGCTCAATCAGAAAAAAATAATCCTTCTCTTTTTCTTTTTTTTTTAATTATGACAAAGACAGGAAACTTATTAATACCTGCTTGTATTGTTAATACAATAAATTAAAAGCCAAAGATGTAAATTTGTTGTACACCTGAAGTATTTCATACTGCCACAAAGAATGATGTTAAATGTAGTTGTGGCCTCATAAAACAGCTAAATGAGTGTTTTCAGGCAAGATTTGTCACTATTCATCAATAATATACAAAATGTGCACAACATTCTCAATAAGTAGGTAGCTTTGG